CGGCTAAACTAATGACACTACCGCGACACCTTTTGACATGTCGCGCTTGTAAATGTCAATTGCTCCGAAAGGGCGGCGACTTTAAAACACCATCCGTCTTAGAGCAGCACATTTAATGCACCACACTCGTATGTTACCTTGGCTGCGGTGACGGTCCAGGAAGCCCCCTTTTTGAAGCCACAGTCCTCCGCGCGGCTCAACGACTCTTTGAACACCGAGGGATCCTCAAAATTATCAAGGGGCGACGAGAAGGGGTCTCATCAAGTTTTAAGGAGATTTGTATGGGCTTCATGTAACCATCTTGATAACGCCAATCGATAGATACCGGGACATGCCCACTTTTAAACCCGTCAATCTAGCCGTAGTTTGTACATTTCTTTTCAGAAGCAGAGAGGTCTGTTTTAAAGTCCAGGCGCCTCATAAGATTCGGACAGCCTGTCCTAAACCATTAAATAATTTTACAGGTTCCAGGGACCTTTACAAAGACTGAGAAACATAAGTCCAGGGATGAATTATGTTCAAGGAAGGCCTCCAGCAAGAACCCTTCGTTCTGATGCTTCATTTTCAGAATGGATGTCTTGTGTTTTCAAAAATGGTACCGCTTTTCTCAAACACTGGAGGTCCTGCGAAGCTCTGGGCCTTCTTTTGTGGACCAAAGCCTATAACTGAGACGGAGGTCAAGACAAAATCCACAACTACAGCTCTTTCAAGCCCGCGGAACGCTTTGGAATTCAGAGGCTCTAGTCTAAAATGGAATCTGCTAGATCTCAAGTAATCCCACCGCTCCCGCACGACACCGGGGGCACCTTCAGTCCTTGCGTTTTGTGTTTGTGTTTTGTGTAGCCGGCGGTGTTTTGTGTGTTTTGCTGGCGGCTGGTTTTTTGCGCATTTATCTGTTGTTTTTTAGGCCTTCAAGGAAGAGCAGAGTGACTTGGGTACAACCCTTCTCCAGTGCAGCACGTTTCTGAACAGAACCTCGCTGGCGGTTTAGAAACCTCTGCACAGTGTGGCTCCTCCTCGGACGCAAAAGATCCCTTTTACATGCTGGATGCTTATCTGCGAGTGTGTGCATCTAGGCCCATATCTATTTTCACCACTATCCTTGTCAGATCCTAAAGCCCCTTCATAACGTAAGCTCCTAGCAGCTTCACAGGAGGGACTGTAGCGTTATGACCCATGGAGCCCGCGACAGCTAGGGGTGTGGCGTTATGACCCATGGAGCCCGCGACATCTAGGGGTGTGACGTTATGACTCATGGAGCCCGCGGCACCTAGGGGTGTGGCGTTATGACTCATGGAGCCCGCGACATCTAGGAGTGTGGCGTCATGGCCCATGGAGCCCGCGACATCTAGAGGCGTGGCGTTATGAACCATGGGACCCGCGACATCTAGGGGTGTGGAGTTATGAACCATGGGATCCCTTCTTCGCCCCTTGGATGCGTTCCTTCTCCTCCCGTGGATGGCCTCCTTCTGTATTTGTGTGTAGTCCAGAGTCCTGCCGCCCTCTCCCTTTGCGGGCCGACATGCGACTTGTTCACAGTCAAGCGGAAGTTATGCCTCAGCACAGCTGACTCTTTTGCGGGCTTTGTCTGATGTCAGGTCCTATATTGATCTTTAAAGAGCCCTGACGTGTTTCCAGGTCAGCAGGAGCATTCTAGGTGGCCCCTTAGGGATGTCCTAAGGAGGTCAGCAGGGGCTCCTTTGCTGTAGATATAACGAAGATATCTGAGTCCCACATAACTGCCTACCTCTTGCCTACATTGTGCCAGATCTGATGCCTGCTCCTCTCACTGATCCGGTTAGTGCTACTTAGAAACGAAGACATGGTAAGGCATTCCCGGGGAGCCTATCGATTGTCATACCATGTTCTCAACCGTAAGCTGAGATTAGTGAATAGCGTGTGCTCAATTCCACATTGTCCGTAAGATCAAGGCGACAACCGTAAATTGAGCGATCACGTAAACGGTAAGCAGCGTCACGTTCCTCACGTTAGGGCGTAGGGCGTAATCATCTATTACCTCCTGCGTCACATGCAGCACCAGTCAGTTATAGTAACTTAGCCAGATGAAAAAGCAAAAAATTAAATGTTTAACAAAAGAATACAGCTAAGAACTGCACATTTGGGCATAACCAGTTCCTGCCCAATGGCTTCGATATGACGTCACTTCAAGGCATCGCCCGTTTGGCGGCATGTTAGTGTTCGGCACTGGTTGATCAAATTCACAAATGGTGATACCATTGTCCGCGATGAGAAATCAAAACAAACTGAAGCATGAATGTTTTGACCGACGTGCGGGGTTGATTGCAATTCCGCAGCCCAGTAATGAATGAGTTAGAATGCCGCGCTTCGATCAATTCGTCCCAGGATATGTACGACGACAATACAGCACACCGAAATTAGGCGTCTTAAGGACAAGAAATGAAGGGGAAGATTTATATATATATATATATATATATATATATATATATATATATATATATATATATATATATATATATATATGTGTGTGTGTGTGTGTGTGTGTGTGTGTGTGTGCATACATGTAATCCCATTTCAAGCTCATTGTCACTACATCATTTATTCACAAAGTGTAGGCTCCAGCAATCTTTAACATGTCGAGCTTTGCGCTCCCTGCCAAGGTCGTGACGCGTGCGCCGTGAATATAGCAGCACGCGGCCCATGTGCTCGTCCGGGCAGGCAACAGGAGGAGCTTCACCCAAAATTGGCCAAGCTACCTATGCACCAAACATTTGAGGGCCAAAACTGAGCATGGCCACATTGCTGCAAAAGGGGCAGATGTTCACACAGCATCGCCCGCCAGACATTTTCAGCCGCCACCGTTGGGGAGGTGTGTTTCAGGTACCCCTTGATCGATATGTCAGGCTTTCACTGTTGGATGGAAAAAATCGAAGGGCGGTTCGAAGCCCTGGTCTGTCTCATTGAGAAACCGTTCATTTGATACTGTCACGTGACTGATGACATCATGGGTAAAGCAAAGAAGCGCTCAAAAGGCATCAAAACCTTGACTGGCTTCAGAGTCTCCTGGAATCCATGATATCACTGTTCGTATTGCTTTGTAACAGGCACTAACCACCCGGATCTTGCGCCTTAGAATTACAACGTGATATTGGCAATGGCCAATGGGGTCAAGTCCATGTCAGGTGAAGGTCAGTTCACAACACCTGATACAGCTTATTTGGTCTTTCCGTCACACATATTAAAAAGCTTTACGTTGGGAAAGGTGCCAGTTACACTGACTGCTTATCACAAGTGACAACGTCTGTTTGGCATTTGTGATAAATAGTCACAAATGGCAAACGAACGTTGTTCGCAACACTTGATGCAGCTTATCTGGTCTTCCCGTTGCACGTGTCAAAAAAAAACTTTAAGTAGGGAAGGTGTCAGTTGCGCTGACTTTTATCACAAATGGCAACAACTGTTTCAACACCCATAACTGTGCGTCACATGACCTCTGTTGTTGATGCAGTGTGGCTTCATGCGATGCGAGATGTCCTAACTGGCAGACAGCCAAACCGGTTGATTTATGACATCAAAACAACAAAAATAAGAAGGAAACCCGCGAATTACTTCACGTGGGGACAAGAATCGTTGCGCGAACCACCACTGATGGCGTCATAACTTAACCGACTAGCATAACTTCGAAGCTCTGGTCACTTCAAACTCCGTCAAATGAATCATTTACCGTGCACTGGAAATTTGGTGCATGCGCTTAAAGCTATTCCGATGTAAGTCCCAAAACTCGTAGAGGGAGCTGCATTCAGCCCCCACACCATCCTGTCCAGCCGTTCGCGACACTGTATGACAAGACAGCTGCCAAGAGTATTCACCAGTATTGGTGAAGCCCTGTTTACATAAGTGATAAGCCGCTTGAAGCGAATGTCGACGGTCGCCCCGTGGGAGCACCCCGTCACATGACCGTGGTCCGGAGGCCGGCGCCCGACTCCGCATCGGCAGGTGCGGGCGGAGGAGTCGCCCGGGCGGCCTCCACCCACTCGGCTCCGTCCCTTGCCCTGCCATTGGGTAACAGCTGTCTGCCGCAGCACCGGGCGCCGGCCGAGGGGCCGGCGCTATTTCGACACCCTGTATTCTGTCCATTTTTGCTGCGGGAGACCCGTGCCATTCGCCGATGTTCTCCAGCGATCGGATTATGCCGACCTGTCACCGGCTCGCGACGGCGGGTCGGACTGCTGCCTCCCAAGGCCGTGACACTGACCCTGACGAGATCGTGAAGATCGTCTCACAGCTGCAGCACAGTGATTTGCTGCCGCCCGGCACGGTACTCACAATGATCAATCTGATCGTGCATCCGATCTGTTAAGGTTTGCAAGTGTGTGTCCTGTTTCCCTCGTCACAAGACTCACAACCGGAGTATGCCCACGGTATTACGTGTCATCGGCCCGTGACACACGGCGTGACGTGTCATCGGCCAGTGGCACACAGTATGACGTGTCATAGGTTCATGACACACAGTATCACGCGTCATCGACCCGTGCCACACGGCGTGACGCGTTATCGGCCCGTACCATAGGCCCTTGTTACACAATATAACGTATGTTAGGTCCGTGTCACACGGTGTGACGTGTCAACGGTCCGTGTCACACAGTATGACGTGTTTTCAGTCCGTGTCACACGGTATGACGTGTTATCAGTCCGTGTCATACGGTGTGACGTGTTATCGGTCCGTGTCATACGGTGCGACGTGTTATGAGTCTGTGTCACACGATGTGACGTGTCAACGGTCCGTGTCACACGGTATAACGTGTTAGCGGTCCGTGTCACACGGTATGACGTGCCATCGGTCCGTGTCATACGGTGTGACGTATCATCTATCCGTGTTACACGGTGTAACGTGTCATGTGCCCGTGTCACACGGTGCGACGTGTCATCTATCCGTGTCACACCGCATCATGTTAGCCAGCAACAGCTGCGAGGCCGGCGCCGCCGCTTACTGCAGCTGCTTGCGCGCCAAGCCCACTCACTGGAAGTGGTATCCGTCCTGGTAGCTCTCGCCCTGGTAGTTGATGATGCGCGCGTCTGCCTCGGACGTGCTCTGGGTATCGGCGGGGCTCTGTCGCTGCTTGTTGACCAGCGCCGCCGGGCTGGCCGGCGGGACTGTCAGGCTCAGCAGCAGCAGCGGCAGCATCTGCGACAAGGACCGTCATCGGACGGGGTCACATCAGCCAGTGAATGGGTCACGCCAGGAGACCGCCAGCAGACGGGGTCACGCCAGGGGACCGCCAGCAGACGGGGTCACGCCAGGGGACCGCCAGCAGACGGGGTCACGCCAGGGGACCGCCAGCATACGGGGTCAAGCCAGGGGACCGCCAGCATACGGGGTCAAGCCAGGGGACCGCCAGCAGACGGGGTCACGCCAGGGGACCGCCAGCAGACGGGGGTTACGCCAGGACACCGTTATCGGGGGGGGGGGGGGGGGAGTACGCCAGAACATCGACATCAGGCGGGGGTCACACCAGGACACCACCAGCAGACGGGGTCACACCAGGACACCGACATCAGACGGGGTCACGCCAGGACACCGCCGGCGGGCGGTGTCACGCCGGGGGCCGTCATCTGACGGGATCACGCCAGGAGACCTTCATCGGACGGACTCACGCGAGCCAGAGGACGGGGCCATGCCGGGGAACCGCCAGAAATCAGGTCAGGGTCACCACTGGGGGCCACAATTTTGCCGTCTTGGTATGAAAGGGTGTAAGAGGAAAAAGTGGTTAATGCATGGCGCAAAGTGCCGAACATGCGCAACGATTATGTGGGACGTGGGCGTTAGACTCGCCAACGATAGACGAACACAAACGACAGTGCGCTCTCATCTTTCTGCTATAATCTTATGACTTAAATCCAAAGGGCTCCAACCGAGTCAGTCATTACTTGGTCCTGTGCGGCAAAATGTTGCTTGCCATCCTTTGTCAAATACCGCGGCTGCGTAGTCTGCCTTAGAGTGGCCACTTCTTACCTCCGCAGTGTCATCTACAAAGCGTGACGAGTGCGATATTGGCTCACGACCACCTTCGTGAGTAAAATGGTCATGAAACGGCATCAAAGCGACAGATGAATGAAATTCGTTCTAACGCTGCTTAACAGGCCTGACAACCTTCGTTCTCGAATTCACTCCTCCGCTCGAAATTTCTTGGCTGAGGTGGACTTTGAGGCACTGGCTGTCCAAGAAGATGGAAGCGACAAATACCACTACATTGTTTTGCGGTTCGTAACCTGCGATCACTTCGTTCAAGACTCTTTTGAAATGATAAGTCATCGCTTGTAATTTAGATGACGCGTCTGACAAACACTCGGCTTTGTTCGCCGCTGTATTCTGAGACAATATTGCTGGACATCGTAATACGATGAGACATTGCGACAATTAACTTTCAGGTAAAAGCATGACGGGAGCTGGGACTGCACTGTCCCACGGCCTGTTCCTATCCATCACCACCCTGGGCCACCACGCGCTGGAATCACCGCACCCCAACAGGACCACCACGCGTGCTCCACCACCGGCACCACTCTTTTTTTTTGGGGGGGGGGGCGGAGGAGTTACCCGTCATCCCCGTTCACTGGGTCCGGCGGCGCTCGGTCGGCGCGTGTTCACCTGCAGAGCGGGGGCCGCCATCGCTGCCGGGGCGGCGTCGATCTTCGGACTGAAAACTCGCGCCCCAGGCCCGGCCGGGTATATCCGCGCGGTCTCCCCGGCAGCCGGCGCCGCTCGGTGCTCAAGGTGAGGCGGCCGGCCGGCCCCCGTCCCCGGCGCACACATGGGGAGCCGGAGAAGACTCGGCGGCGAGCTGACGTACACAGGTAGGAGATTCCCATGTTGTGATGTGCGCAGCATGATCAGCACCTCTCTGAGACTGTCGCTGGTTAGAAGTTCCCCGCTCGATATGCATCCAAACAAAAGGCTGCGTTGCGAACGTACTGCGGGCTCGGCAAACCAGGCAGAGCCAGTTTACATCGCAAACTCTAATTAGATGAACCGTTGCTTCTAATTGTGTTATCTCATTGAGGGTTTTTGGCACGAAGTCTTGGTGTTACAGGGTAATGCGCGATTCACTTATTTGCGCACGTGAGCGTGCTGCGTGCGTTGCTCCTTTGCGTGCATTGCGTCTAAGCGTGGTCCAACTGATCCAGAAACGCAGTCATTCTTTTATCGTGCGTGCGACGATCCCCAGTAAAAGCGTGAAGCATCTTGCAATTATTTACCGAATGTGATTCGACTTTTGACGTTAAAAGCGACCTCGATATTTTTGAGCTCTTGGAGTTTTTGTGCTATCTGGACATCCTGCTGCACCGTGAGTTTCTGTACTCTTGAGTCATGAATGGTCTTCTCGTCTCGGCATCTATGACACTTTGCCTGATAGAGGCAAGCAAGTCCTGAAACTCCTGGCTTTTCAGCATTGTGAGGTAGGAAATTTATTCCGATAACGACCGACCTCCATCATTCCTTGAGGTACTGGTCAAATGACGTTCTCAACGAGAAATTGATGGTATTGACAATGGTGGTAATGCACGACTCCACGACGCCATGAGTGCGGGTGCAAATCCATTCCACATGAAAATACGTTTAACACGCAGCTCTTCTTTCTGCACGTGCGTTGCATGTAATTGTCATGCAATACGTTGTGATGCATTGGATGTGGCTCAACGGTGTTGGCGACCTTTAGGGGTCGCGACTTTAGGTGCTTCGATAGATGCCTTCAAAATGCGCGTTGCGCTGCCTTAGACTTGAGTGCTGCAATTTTTCTAAGCAAAAAAGTTGAGACTTTACCCCCCCAATGAGCCTCATGCAACAAAGGGTGTTAAGACACCACGTGAAAACTGTACAGTTAAAGATGTGTGTGTCAGAAAGACTCCGGTCGTTTTTAGCAGGTTCGGTGAATTGCGTGACCTGTGCTGGCTGGGCTCGTGCATGGTCTTCCATCCGGATGACTTTTGGACGCTATGTCACGGTTAGTCGACATTACGTCCAAACGTTGGTCATTCATAATACCGCGTAAACGTGCCCAACCAGGAAAGGTCACTGAACACCATAACTGGAAGGCAACTGTGACGAGGACGCATAGAATGAAATGCAAAAATTCACCTGATAGCTTCCATTGTGATATGGTGCTCCGCTTCTACGGGGAACTATGCGCGGTGTCTAATATTGGTAACATGTCTGTTATTCTCAGTGGGTCATCATTTACAAAACTCGGACAAAAAGTTCTAGTTAAAGCACACTGCTCTTCTGACAACGCACGGTTTGATTTACAAGTAAATACGAAGTCCGCACGTTTACGCCTATATGGGTGACTATACTGGAAACGAAGTGTTATGGATACGAAAACCGAACATATTGCAGCCTGCATAACGTTGTTCCAGAACTGCTCTTTGGCTAAGGCCACAAACGTTACTATCGGAACGCCATTATCATCCCCTTTCAGCTTAATTTCATCTGACGTGAACTGCGACTTGACCCCTCATATGATCCGAGAAGTCAGCTTGTCGGAGAAGGCAGCCTTTGCGCCACCATTGAGCCGACATGGGATTTTATGCGGGCCACCAGAATTCTCTCCATTTAGATGTTCTCTGGTATTGTCACGTCATGTATGTTGAAGTTGAATGATTGGGTCGTAGATACTCGATGACCAACGCTCTCTAATGCACGGGCCATGACACGATGCTTTTGGTTGCCTCCGAACATCACCACCTTCAATGAGCTGGCAAGGCCTGTTGGGAAATATTGCACTGAAGTAACTCTAAAGCAAGTTGTGGTTTTGAAGAACATTAAAACGTCGACGGTTTGACTATCCCGCGAGATGCTGTGTTAAGCGGCAATGTGGAGGTAAAGAATCTGGCATAGCTCGGCATATTTTTGGTGAATTCTTTGCTTTTTGCAGTTACCTTTTAAGCAAAGCGTCAGGTGGAGAGCTTCACAGTTTGGTTAAACTCATGGGCACCCATCAGTTGTGTACGGAATTTGGGAAAATTGCGGGCATGGATACAAATATGGGTGTTAACGAAATGTCGGTTAGATATTTGGTAAGTTGTTAAGTTCATTCGCGAGAGACATTATTCACATAGATAAGACAGTAGTGGCAGCCTCATTCCTCGATAAATGCCAGGATAATGGAGATATAGATGTGTTGATATTCCGGCAACATGCCGTCATCGAAGCAAGAGCAGAAATAAATTTAAAATTTCCTGCCGATGATCATACTCGATTTTTCAGGTTTCTGTTTTTGAAACAGCCAGCCATAGTTTTTACAGGACACCAACATTCAGGGAGTTAAACAAGAAACAATGGCCAGTCACTACTTCGATACAGTGCACGTCTAATTAAACATTAGAACACGCAAAAAGAAACGTGTACATGCAAAAAAATTCAAATCAACGGGCTTCACGCATCACGCTCTATTCAAACATGCAAGAGAGTTGAAGTAAACAGGCATCACACATCACACATCGATTATGCATGCAAGCGATGCTACTTAAAATGGCATCGCGCATCACGTACCAGGCATCACTTGCACATGTGAACGATTTTAAGCTATCACACATCACATATCCAGGCACATATTACGTTCGCATGATCGGCCATGATGAGCCCTGTACGTTAACGTTGCAAGTGAAGTGGGTGAGGGAAATCATATCTGTGAATGTCTCTAGCGTCAGGTGACAAATGCGGCTTACATGCAGCTACAGTTTTCCGAATAACGCGTTCGGACGGTATATATATATATATATATATATATATATATATATATATATATATATATATATATGTATGTATACACCGTGTGTGTGTGCGTGTGTGTGTGTGTGTGTGTGTGTGTGTGTGTGTGTGTGTGTGTGTGTGTGTGTGTGTGTGTGTGTGTGTGTGTGTGTGTGTGTGTGTGGTGTGTGTGTGTGTGTGTGTGTGTGTGCGTGTGTGTTATTGTGACGCAATGCTTTATTACCTCTGATGGTGGTGAGATGGCAAATATTGATGACATGGCTGCTGACTTCTGGGATCAAATGTTGAATACCACGAAAATGCCCTCAATGATGTGATGCGTTATCTGCCTTTCGTTTTACCTATAAGCTGCATATTACATTTTGTCATAAACCTAGGCGTAATGGAGCCTGGTGACTCATGCATGGATTGGAAAGAGACCGTCTTATTCCTGTTGTTGCCTCTTTGCGGCGCCAACATCCGGGATGTGAGCTTTTAAGGCGAAGAGCAGTATGTGCCATGATATGACGCGACACGGCATTAGCCCCGAAGCGTTCGTTGCTAAAGGCAGCACAAGTTACCGACAGATGGCCAGTTAACAAGCTTAGTATTACTTTCACGTAAGCTACGTCCGGTTGAATGGTACCTGACGTCATGTTGTGTTTTGATAGAGTTTGAGCGAATTCGAAGGGTTCTAAGCCTCTTGTCAAGCCATTGGTGAAGAATGGCAAGGAGAATTAGCTTAAAACATCTGCCGAAATTAAAACCACAAATGTGAAATTAGCATAACGTTGCCCCGGTCGTTACTTCGCCTGTCATGCCGTATTTTCCGTCCATTTGCTGGAGATGAATAGGCGGTGTAATCCTGCGAAATTTTGGACACTTTTTGTGACGCGAAAGCATTCTCGCTTCTCGACCTGATGAAAAGGCTGGGGAGCAACTAGTTCTGAATTTAGAATGGGAGTACCTGAAGGTTGAATTATTTTGTGGCAAACTTGCTAAGCATACCCTCTAGCCCACCAGGGCCCAAAGCAAAGGATTGTAAATG